CCATTTTCTCTTTTTATTTTTACTGTCCGGCTTTGCCCATCTCGCTCTCGCCTTTCTTCTGCATTTCAGTCTCCCCTCCTCTGTTACTCCTGTGGCAGCGGGCGCATGGCGGGGCGGCCCTGCCGCACACATGCGGGTTGGTATGGACTGGGGCGAACCTTCTTTCTGTGTACGTGGAGCACCCGGTGTGGAGCCAGGAAATGAGTTCCCACCACTGAACTCCTCGGGTGATGCAGCGAGCACCTCTAAAGGGGGGAAGGGGGGGGTTGGGGAGGGAAGAAAAAAGAGGGTTCAAACGCACGCAACGTTGAAAGAGATGGGCTCTGAGCAATGCTTTGTTGTTTGTTTTCGAGACGGGAGCGAGAGCAGCGTACCTATGTGCCCCCGCAGCTCCGAAACGGTGCCGCTCTGGGTGGGGGAAGCAGCCCTCTGCCCTGCGAGGAGGCACGAGGAGACATCTCTTGGATCCGACAGCCGAGAGCGGGGAGCAGAGCCGCGGGGCGGGCAGGGCCGGTGGCACCAGTTCAAGGACGTGGGCACTGCCTTTCTTATCTCCACGTAGAAACTGCGCAGGGGAGGAATGGGCGCCGGTGGGCAGCGGGCGGCCGGAGGGAGGCACACGCCGTTCTCCCGCTCTGAGCGAAGGTGAACGCGTGCCTACGGATTTGCACTTCAGCTCGGAGTCATGTTCATTTGCAAGCCGCTCTGCTCGGCGCTGCCGCTCGCTCCCACCGCGCCCTTCCTCAGCCGCCAGCGGCCCCTGCCCGGATTTTTCAGCCGCGTACAGAAAGGGTTAAGAGTCGTGAAGTTCACGATCTGGATGTGCGCCGCTAACGCGGAATTGCGTGGAAGAAAAAGGGCTCCGAGCACGGCGAGGTGGTGCAGGGCCACAGAAAGCGGGGCTGGGAGGGCGGCTGCTGCGCTGCCGGGAGCTGCGCTGCTCGGAAAAGCCCAGCTTTAGCAGATGCGGGGAACATTTCCCCGCGCAGCGCCTTCCGAAGGCCCACGGGCTGGCCAAGGAGCCCGCTCCTTACCATTCGGTTGTGCCAGCTCCGTTTTTGGCACGATTGGCTTTTTTTTTTTTTAAAGCGAGTGAAGACACGAAATCAGGATCTACACACTGTAATCACGCAGCGACTGATATTTTTTAAATCAACATCCGAGCATCAAATAAAATGACACACATATTGCTGACAGCTTGTAGCAGAAAGATTTTTTATCACTTACCATTTATGAGTTGATTGGATGAGGACGTCCAGTTTAGGTCATAATATTTTACAACTTTTTTTTTTTTTTTTT